TACACAACAAATTACACATTCAATTACTTAATACAAAATACTAATCATTCTACAAAATATAAAAGCAAATTATGTAAACATTCATTAAAAATTCACATTAACAAAGTGAAGAAAATTAATATATGATAAAATCGTAAATATATAGATTACAGAAAATAACTCAATTAGTTACAAAATTCATATTAAATTAATAATTATTCTTCAAGATTATACAGCAATTGAACTGGTCTTATGGCATTAATTTTAGTTTTAACAAGACAAGAGCGAATCTTACCATCTCTTCCAGTATAAGTTTCAATAATCTTACCCATTGACCACAGATTCCTAGGGAAGCGGTCATCATGTATGAGTACAACATCATCAACCTTAAATTGACAAGTTACTTTAGAAGGAGGACATATATCATAGATCTTAGAGATAGCAAATAGTGTTTCCTCCAACGATTCCAAAACTGATTTAATAAATTTTGCTGATGTCTATATCTCTTAAGTAAAGAAAGTCTAGACCCAGTAAGGTCTTCTCTGGATACTCTTGTTACTGGAAGAGAAAGTAAACGTTTACCTATTAAGAAATGTGCAGGAGTTAGTGGTGAGGGCTCAGAAGGGTCATCATAGATATAAGTTATTGGCCTTGAATTTATCATGGCTTCGATTTCTATGAATACAGTTTCTAGCTCGTTCAAAGAAAGACTAGAACGGCCAATTATTTTTCGTAAACAAGTTTTAATTGTTCTGAAATGCCTCTCCCAGAACCCTCCCCACCATGCTCCTTTTTCTACAATATATTTACACGTTATACCATGAGTTGAAAACAAATCTTGTACAGATGGATGTAGCATACATCTCCAAAAATTTTTCAATTCTAACTCAGCACGCTTGAAAGTTTTAGCGTTGTCTGAGTAAATTGTTGAACAGAGTCCACGTCGGGAAATGAATCTGCGGAAAGCAAGCAAAAATTGTTCTGTGCTTGCTCATTGAAGGAAGAAGTTCGAGATGCAAGGCTCGAGTGGTTGCACATATGAACAACAGCAGGTAGTGTTTCTTATCACTGTCTTTTATGAACAAAGGACCTGCAATGTCCAATCCTGAAATTGAAAATGGAGATGATTCCAAAACTCGATCTGGTGGCAAAGGGGCGATTTCTTGGTTACCAGAACGTACTGTGTATTTTTTGCACAAGAAACACCTACTTAAAATAGATTTGACACATTGGCGTCCTTTTAAAATCCAAAACTTCTCTCTGACTTGGGCTAAAGTAGCCTCAACACCAGCATGAAGTAAATGGTTATAGGCATGTAGAATTACTAATTCACTGTACCTATCCTTGTTAGGTAACAACCATGGGTGTTTTTCTCCGAAATCTAGATCAGAGAAATGAAGTCTTCCCTTTAGAAGCAGAAGACCATGCATATCTAGCTCTGGGTTAAGCGAATAAATTTTAGATACCTTGTCTAGAGACTTTCCCTGAGAAAGATCTACAGTCTCTTTTGGAAAGTGTTTTCGTTGAATAGCTTTCACCCAATAGCGCTCGGCACTTGAGATTTCAGTTGAACTTAACGGGCCTTTTAATTTAATGGATTTTCTTTGAGTATTGTTGATAAATCTCATGACATACGCCGTGATTCGATGAACTCTCAATAAACTAATGAATCGGGTCAAGTCCAACAAAGTCGAAGTTTCAATGCCTCGAATAGAAGCCGTAAGTGAATGAATGTCCTTAGATCCCTTTTCATTCACAACACTCTCCTCGTTGACATGTCTTTGCTTCCTCATCTCCTCTGGTTGGGTTTCATCCCAATCAAGTCCTGCAGTCCATATTTTTTGTAACATGATTGTCATCATCATCGTAAAGGGCTGAGACAATCCCATTGGATCGTAAACTCTCGCTACAGTCTGAAGAATAGTTCTCTTAGTAGCCTTTTGAGGAATACGATCGAATGAATTCTCTAAAAATTCACAATTTAATTTTATCTCGTCCATTTCTGGGGTCCAAACCATGCCCAAAATTTTTGACTCTTTAGTCAATCCCACATTGAAACCCTTTTCAATCCATAAAGAATTAAGTTCCGAGGAATTGGATCTTAATTTCCGTAGATCCATCCCAGCATTTAAGAAAATTTTAATTGCGTCTGTTGACAATCTAAATGCATCTTTTATTGTGTCTGCGCCATAATACAAATCGTCTACATATAAAGATGAATCGAGCATTTTATAACCTTCCGGATTTCTATTTACAAATTTTTTTATATGATATTTTATCGTCATTGCTAAAATTGCTGGACTACAGCAGAGTCCGAATGGAAGACGTTTAAATCTTAAAATTTTCTGTTCATCTTCACTTTTACCATACCAAAGAAATTTTAAATAATCCCTATCCTTTTCCGCGATACTTATCATTAAAAATGCTTTGGCAATATCTCCGTTAAAAGCAATTTCATATTTGCGAAATTTTAAAATTACGTCCAATACAAGAGGGGACAAATTAGGCCCAATATCTAGAAAATCATTAAGGGATTTTACGTTTTTAGATCGTGAAGAGCTCGCGTCATAAACAACCCTACAACTCGTAGTTTCATTTCGTTTAAGTATTTCTCTATGTGGCATAAAATACGACGAATCATATCCTTCATCTGAACATTCCTCAACTATACCCTCTTTAATTTGCTCTTCTATTACTCTTTTATACTGCTCAAAAATATCGGGATTTCTATTTAATCTATTCTTAAGATTTTCAAATCGCCTTAATGCAACTGCGAAATTATTTTCTAACTGACCCATTTCAGCTTTCCATAGCAAGCCAACGGAATATCTATTATTTTCAAATTGTATTTGCCTTTCGAAACCCTGAATTATCTCCCTTTCCTCCTTAGAAACAGTTTGGTTGTCAGTAATTCCCATCAAATCTAAACTCCACAAGGATCTTAAAGAGTCCTTCACGCAAGAAGAAAGATTTATAATCGCACTGTTTTGAGTTTCGAATTCTCCCTCCCGTGTGTAGGGGGGATCTTGTAACCCTGCCGGTACCCAACCAAAACGAGTTGAAATCGCATAAATTTCTTTCCCTATTCTGACCTTTTCACCTCTTACTATTTGCCAATAGTGATCCACCCCAATGAGAATTCCCACTGTGGTCTCGGACAACCCCGCAATGTGTAACCCTAACTTGTTCATAGCCTTTAGTGTCAACCGCGAAGGGGCAGTGACCTCTGCCGCCGTTATAACTTCAGTAACGAGGCAGCTAACTTTTATTTTATTTGTTTGCTTCATATCCGAAATAAACAGCTCGACAACAGAGTATGTTTTGGGTGTGGCATGAGTCATTCCGAAGGAAAAAACAGAAAGTATTTCTTCTCCTACAATTTTTAAGTTTAATTTTTTCACTAAACTAACATGTATAAAACTTCGCGTAGCACCACAATCTAGAATTAAATTAGTTAACTCAATTTTTTCCTCATGAAAAGCTAGTACGGAACATGTTTGTAATAAAGGATCTTTTTTACATAAAGATTTATTTTGAATAACAGAAAGAGAATGCTCATCCGGAGAGTTAATTGGTTCTTTTACGAGATTACTTTGCGGGTTTTCAATATTTTGATTGACAATTTGATTTGAAGCTGTTCGCTTGTTGTTTTGATTTAATCTATTAGTACATATTGATTCATGATGCGATTTAAGTCCGCATTTTAGACAATTACTTTTATTTTTACAATTTTTACTAATATGATACTTCCGGAAACAAATATAACAACGATTTTCGTTACGTAATTTATATAATTTTTCTTTTACACTCTTATAACAAGAAAATGAGCAATGGCATTGATTACAAAAGATGCACACACGATTGTCAACAGTATTGAAACTCGCAGCCGTGGGTACATTTCTAGACATTTTTCTATTTTCATATTTTGCCTGTTCGAAACGTGGAGACCATGTATTTGTTCTCTCTTGTGTCAAAGAACTAGCCGCTTCACGACATTCTATTTCGGTTTTAATGAAATTCAATAAATCTGTCACGCTTATGTCTTCTTTTGAATTTTTCCTTCTATTAAATTCCAGAACAAATTCTTCTGGAATAGATTTTAATAAAATTGGTATTAATAATTGACCAAATGATCCTTTCGTAACTCCCTGAGAATCCAGGTTTCGAACAGCAATTTCTATTTCATCGTATAAATTTCTTAAAGCTTTAACATTATTTGAATTCTTTACCGATTCTAGTTTTAACAATTTATTCATGAATTGACTAATTATAATGTCTTTTTTTCCAAATCTTTCTTTTAAAGCTTTTATGCTCTCATCATAATTCTTTTCATTTAATTCTAGTGAAGCTACGACATTATGTGCTTGACCTATAAGTAATGTTTTTAAATACGCAAATTTTTCTACTTTACTTAAGCTTTCATTTTTATCTATCGTACTTTCATAACTATTCCAAAATTCTGTAAATTTTGTTGGGTCACCTGAATATTTTTCTAATACTAGTTTGGGAAGTTTTACTGAACTGTGAGCACTTTGCAGGTTAATCCTGCTTTCATCAGGAATTTTATTGAAAGATTCTGTTCTTTCTCCTTTTCCTAACACTCGTGCTATTCTTTTCACAGCTCGAGAACATTTTTCCTGATATTCCTCTGAGTTCGTTACATCCGTTTCTAAAGACTCTAATTCTATTAATGAATGAATTGAGCCATCAATTTCTTTTAAATTACTTTTCTTTTCTAATAATAATTCCTTCAAATCACATAATTCATCCCTGTCATCATTCGTTTCTAAATTATCTTCAACTTTCTTAATTAGCTTAGTAGTTAATGTTCTCAGCGCAGTTCGCTTACGTTTTAATCTATCTAATTGTTCCTCCATTATTTCGTGTCAATATAAATGTACCCAAGACTGCAATTATTACTATCAAATCTTCAAATTTAAAATCAAATATTTTAAACTCTTACCTCAACCCTGGGCACAGTTTGGATGTAGTAGAACCTTGACGGCCGATGCGCCACTATTACGTCTGGTGAATTCAGTGGTAGAATGCTCGCCTGCCACGCGGGCGGCCCGGGTTCGATTCCCGGCCGATGCACCACTATTACGTCTGGTGAATTCAGTGGTAGAATGAAGACGATCTTTTTTGTCTTTTATAAGGTTTTATTGCTGGACGACACGGACATGACACGAACATTAAACATATATGATTAAAACTTAGGTTGTATTATTAGGGCAACCACCCTTCAATTACAGATTACAACTGTACCAAATGGTAGCTCACCTGCCACTGAGCTCCTACACATCCCAAAACAAAAGTTTCGCGTTACAGAGCAGCGCCCTCTATACGACGCTTTTCAACACAATCCATTGAAAATATTATGTTGCATATTTTTGAAGATGTATCAATAAATCTGCATTTGTAAATTGAAGCTGGTTTAGCAGCAAATGGAAAGAAATTCTCTGTTCTTAAGATATTGTGATATAAATTAAATGCTCTTCTGATGATGATTCCCTTGACAGACATGTGGCGTAACGAACTCCCCCGCAACTCCCGCATCGCAGTTGGCGCCCAGGGTTCTTGGGGGACCGAAGCCTGACTATCCCCAAGTACCTATCTTTTGTGAAATCCAACTTGGGGCCCCAAAACCTGATTTTGCAGGGGGGCACAGATATTCTCCATTACGCCACTGTTTACAGATGCTGAAATACTGATGATGCTTGCTCTTCTGAAACATCATCAGTACAGGACAGTGGCTTAACAAAAAATACTAGGGCCTCTCTTCAAAATCAGGTTTTGGGCCCCAAGCCCAAATACGTACTTGGCGTCTGTCAAGCTTTGGGCCCCATACAACACCTGTGTCCACCTCCCGCAATGCGTGGGTGTACGTTACGCCACTGGTGCAGGAATATGTTATCACGTGCATTGAAAAAAAAACACTATTAAACATAAGGACTTTTCTGGTCAAAATGTATCTTTGAAACTTAATTTACTTAAATGATTTAAATAGCATTTTGCAGAAAAGGTTAAGCTTATAAGTACTTTTCCCTGATTTTATTTAAAAAATCTTGTTCACATCTACAAATGTAATAAAATGATTCTTAGATCAGTGCTTCTCAAACTTTCAAATTTGCGACCCAATTTTTATAATTTTCATCACGCCCTTCCCCATGCAATAACAATGCATTGAGTGTAATAATAACGTGTTTTGACAATAAAGCTACAAAACGACCTTAATTATATACCGTACAAATTATCAAGACAAGAACTTTGGATGCAATTTTGGATATGATATGTCCATAGGAGTCAAAAGTAATTATTAAACTTATTCTTAACTTAGTTGGTAAATTAATTATGAAATGAGTACCGTAATGATCATTTATAAGTACCGTAAAATCCAGAGTATAACGCGCACTTTTTACTCAAAAAAATAAGATCGAAATGTAGGAGGGTGCGTTATACGCCGGGTATAAAAATGAGAGCTTTAAAAAAAGGATGAGTATAGGAAAAAATTAAACTTCTTCACGGAATGAAATATTGCTTATAAAAAAAAGAAATAACATTTACTTATAAATTTAAAGGGTTGTAATTCTAGAAGTATAATACTTTTTTGTAAAGCTTTGAATAATACCTCAAATAAAAGAGTTTAAAACATGAAAACATAGCGTACGTACATTTCAGGTATATTCGTAAAAAAGCAGGTGCGCTTTATACGGCGAATATGCCTAAAAATGAAAAATTGCAACTTGAAAGTATGGGCCGGTTGGGTGACGTAGTTGGCCTTCTGCACCTAAGGTTGCGGGTTCGACCCCGGTCCAAGTCGGTGGATTTTCATGATGCAGAAAATCGACAGCGGCAGTGTCGTATGATTATACGGCATGTGAAAGACCCGAGATGTCTCTTTGGCTTGAGTGCTCTCGGCAAAATTAAATCCTAGTACAGGTTCGCATCGTCAAGAGCTCAAGTGCCTGCCTCTGGGGAGTAAACTGGGTGTCAAAATTACCCTCGGTAATTGGTATCGCCTATACGATGCCGTTCTAAAAAGTGATACCAGTTCCTAGGGAATGTACTAGGTCTGCAAAAGTTAAAATACCAATGTGAAAAAAACGTTTGGATGCACGTTATTCGTCGGATTTGACGGTATATTATATCTGTGTGAATGTCATTTTATTTTTTATTATGTCAAAATGTGTTTTGTATTGCTGCCTTTCAGTGAATTAAAAAAAAAATTTAAAACAATCTGTTATTTTAGACTTTTCGATATGCTTGCCCCCGTAGGGTAACCCCCCCCAGATAAATCTGGAATCTAAAAGCTATTTTCCTGTTTACTTCCCCTTATATCATATCGAAGATCGATTTCAGATTAAATGAAATTAAATATTAGTTCTCCCAAAGTTGTATAAATATATCGATAAAAAAAATAGATGTTGAATAAAATCCAAGTCATGATTGGTAAAAAAAACATGCACCAAAAAGGAAATAAAATCTAACTCTGATATTACCTGTCTCAGAAATTTACTTATGAATATTGAAAACGAAACGAAAAAGAAAGTATTTCGGGAATAAAAATTATATTATTTTTCATCCTTGAAAAAGTTTCCTTGTTTTTTATTTTACTTTTTTTTTTCTGCGCAAGGAAATAACGTTGACAAATAAAAAATAAAAATAAAAGGGAAACGTAACCGTTTTACGTAGTTTATATGATAGAGCCTTCTAAAATTTATGAGGTAATCTTTTTCTGAAGTGAATATTTTAACATATTGGGATTTTTTTATTATTTGCTTATTAATATCAATACGAACGACTTAATTTCATATCATAGGATTTTTCTGATGTAAATATAAATTAATCACTTTTTTATACTAAATATTAATTATTGATTTTTTTTCATAAAGGTTGTGACGGGTCTATCCGCGTCAATCTTCTATCAATCCTCTTGGGTAACTTTGGGCCAAGCAATTATTCTATTTCACAGCCTCCTCGGGATAGTGATATGCTAATGAGTTCGTCTATATAAAGTCTAGATTTAGTAAGAAGGAGAAGGAATTGCCAAATTAAATGTAAGTATCGTCTACGGATCTCTTCAGCGAGCTTAGCGCGTATTCGATAGTATTTGATATTGTTAATCATTGAAGTAATCAAAGGGATTAGATTTAGTACCGACCTGACGTTAGTAAGAATTCGTCTCTTTGTCAATTCTGATAGCTGAGATTACTTAGACGGGAATATTAGATTTGAAGGTTAGAATTGAGTATTAGATTTGAGTATCAGGATTAATCTAGGTATTGGATAATCACTCCAAGGTTTCTACTTATAGTTTGAACTTGTATTTGTTATTTGTGTGTTCTTAATAAATATTTGTAATTATGGCTTTCGTTGGTGATGATATGTTTCTTCCTACACCAGGAGCGCCGGGCAATGTGAACCCAGTCCAAGATAGGACTGGGGCACGACAAGGTGATATTCCTGGAATTATCGAAATAATTTTCCTTTATTTGTTTAGAAATAGCCTAAGTTGAGATAATTATAATTATTTTTTTGAAAAATATTACAATTATTCTTTATTGTTGTGTGCGCTCGTGACATTTTGGGAGAAACGTGTTTTATAATGGAAGAAAACAATAAACTGCCCAGTGAAAGCTTATTACAAAGAATAAATATTGGCTAAGGAATTGAGCTTTTCATACCAATATTATGGTACATTTAAATAATTTAAATTTAAGATTACTGGGAAAAAATTGCATTTTTCCTCTATAGTTGATCATATATCTTCTTTTGTGAAGAAACTCTTGCTTTTCGGAAAAAATAACGCATTTCATATTAACACTGGAGTTATCTACCACTGTTCCGAGCTATGGTAGATTTGAAAATTTACTATCCACTTTGCAGGATTTATTTTTCTTGGTTTGATAATTTTCAAGATGATAAGAAAATGTTGATATTTCCCAAATCCATTTTCAATTTCTCGGCTAGATGTTAACAAGCAATTTTCCAAATTTACACTATTTAGCAGTGAGATATTGTTGTAGGTTTATATATATCACATTTATAGCAGGGGTGGGCTAACTTTTCCAGGATAGGGGCTACTTCTAACCTTTTCAAAGTGTTGCGATCTACCCAATGGCGTAGGTATGGTGAGCTAAGAAAAAAAATCTGCAATATTTATTATAATTTAATAATAAATACTTAATATATGTATTTACTTACATAACTACAATAAAATAAATTCACACTTTTAAGACCACTTTTAAAGCAAAACGCAATATGCAAACATAATAGTAATATCAAATAAAGCATTCGTTACGTAACGATTCAAAATACATTAAAAACTAATACATTTTGATCTAAAGTTAGTGCTCATAATAGAAGCAGTGGCGTAACATACAAGTTCTAGGGACCAAAAGAGCCTGACTGGTGCCAAATATGTATTTGGACTTGAGCCCCAAAACCTGACTTTGTAGGGGGCCCTAATATTCCCCACTACGCCTGCATACTGTCAGTTAATCTCGAATATTTCAGTAACAGCCAATCAGTGAGCTCCAAAAGTCTACGGACCTTGGAAGCTCACTCACCCTATCATAGCGACGGTACCCTTTCGGGACGGAAGCAATCAACGCTGTCGTGATTAGCTGCAACCCCATTGGGCGAGCAGTCCGTACACCCAAGGCTGTCATTGGCCATCGGAAAGTCATGATAATCGTAGCATTCTGATCTCAGTTTACATGATTTTTCTTCGTAAACTACTACGTTTAAGTGCATTTAAATAAATTTCCTCATGTTTTTGATTAAAATTTTTACTTTTAAATATCTTTAATGTACTTTTATAATTCTCAACACCTTAAATAAAAATGGGCAAATTAATCAAAGTCAAGCTATCTATCACTTCATGACAGGAGATAAAAGCCCTAACGGGCTAGGTGCTCCAAAAGAAAACTCAGCTTAGAATATTTCGGTATATATTTACTAATTGCTAATCTTCAGGCGGTCACCCCCAAAATGTCTTGGTGATTCATCAGTCTACCACGATCGACTTACACCCACCCTTGATTTATAGGTTAGAAAGTGTGACGAATGAGGGCACAGAGACATCATGAAAT